GTGCTTGAGGAGGTGACGAGGCCGGCTATAAACGGTTAAAGTGGGGCGCAGACATGGTTCTGTCTGCAGAACGGGTGTCTCTGCTTGTTATCTGGGGTGCGCTGGGGCCAGCCATGGTGATCTCCCAAACGTGAGTGTGCTGAGTGCTGTGAGAACTAAATAGTTGTTAAGCTCAAGGGGTTAAGTCTGGTCACATTTCCAGTCCTCGGGATTGTTACAAATATGCAAACTGACTTCTCGGGCTTCCCTGGGTTTAAGGCAGGCTAATTAAAATAGAAGCAATTGCTGTAAGCACTGTACAAATGTGCTGTTTTAAACAAACAAATATGAGTGCTGTTTCTTGGATGAATGCTTTAAGATAAAGGTGATGATGGTTTGGTGTCTGTTCACTACAACTTCTAAAAACTTGATGGCGTTTTCCTTAAAACCTAGTTCCTAAGTGGTGTCTGGGAATGGTGCAGACAAAGGTGGTGCTTTAAATCCTTTTCTCTAGTTGCATTTTTATCTGTCAAGCACAGTTAAAATACGTGTATGATTTACATGCGTCTTCAAACGTTTCCTTAATTTATAGTTAGTCAGTCAAAGTGTTTATTGATTTCTGTTACTTACAGGTAATGAATTAAGGTCTCGGTGTTTCTGGCTGAACAGAGTTGTCCAGTTTATCTTTCACTGAACACACAATGCTTGTCCTGTCCTGGGGATAAAACCTGGGGATAAAACCCCAGAAATCTGCACAGCACTCGAGATCTGGGGTTCTCGTTCAGGGGATGAAAATGTGCAAATCAGACCAGCAGTAACACTTGCAGTTGATGTCTTGGAGTGTATGCCACGGGGATTTATATTCCATGAGAGCTGGAACAAATTGAGCCAAATGACGTTATTATTCCATTAAAATCTTTCTCGGTTGATAGAAGTACCTGTCTGGCTGCTTTAAATTCGTTTGAATTCGAACTTTCCTGTACTTTGGGGCGTAGGATGTAATTCTGAGGTGATTTTTTTTTTTTAAGTCAAGACTAGAGAGCATCACATACGTGTAGGAAGTGAAAGAAAAACGAGCATCTGTATTGTTGGAGGGAGAATAAAAAGGACAGGGCAATGCAGGAATGAAAAGGAAATGTCTTGGGAGGACCAGGAGGTAGATGTGTCAGTGTTGCTTATATTTTCTGGTAAACCAGGTATTCCTAATCCTCCTGCTTTTTCAAGCAGGCCAAGACATCATACTTGCTGTGTTTGAAAGATTGCATCCTGCATGTTCTCTTAATTTTAAAAACACTTATTATTTGTTGTTTTACACTTCTGTTTAGTTTGCTTGCTTTACTTGCTGGGTTGTTGGTGTTCCTTGTCTGATAGAGTGAACTCTTACTTGACATTACTTAGTTTTTATTTATGTAAGAACAGATAACTTTATATGTATGGTGTCTGCCACGGATTGTATTCTAGATCCTGATTATATACAATAGCAGAAGGGCCAGGTGATGTTAATGCAGATGGTATTGATTGCTCTTCCCCTTTCAAACTTGTAAAGAGTAGTTGGATGGGTTAGGAGGCACTTGGTCCTTTCATTCCTGTCTCCATCTAGTCCTGATGTGTGTTTTACAGCCAGAGGGTTTGCTTTAATTAAGTTAAAGCAATGGTTGGCTGCTGCAGTGCTGCAGGGTAATGAGAGGAGTTTCATCAAGGTAACCCCTGTTCCAGGATGCATTTCTCTAGTGGTTATAAAATTAATTAGTAAGTTTCTCATGTGCTATCGATTGACTTAAAAGCGTAAGGGTGGTTTTTAGAGGGAGGCAGGGGACATTTTATCTCTCACTTGAAAAGTTTTAGCTGTGCATTACTTAATCACAGCAGATTCATGTCGAGATGAAGAGTCAAATCTGTGAATGATCATTGTTGTGACATGGTGGAATTTGGCAGTTTCAGGCCTGTAGTTTTTTTGTGGGGTTTTGTTTGTTTGTTTCTTTTCTTTAAACAACCATTTCAGGGGCCTGGAACTCCCACCTTCCTTATCTGTCATTGCTAATGAACACGGTGGCCAGGAGGAAACATCCTGCTTGCTGGGTTTCAGTGTAAGTTACCCTGCTTCAGCAAATGGCCTGAATGTTAAAACTTTTCACCATGTAAAAGTGACAAATTTGGGGTGTTTTTTCCCTGCTGTAAGAGGTTCTGCTGGTAGGATTAAAAGTGCAGCTGTGTTTGGTTATGCTTTAGGTACACCCTCACCTAGTTTGCTTTGTTTTGCTGTACAAAAATGAGCCATACCAGTAAGATCAAGACCCATCACAGGGAACTTTAGTTTCTGAAAGTGCCAGGGCAGTTTAAGTAGTGATGTGTAACCAGGAACTGTCAGGACAAGGTTATCTCCTTGAAATACAGATTCCTTTATTACGTGTATTCTGAACATAGGCAACGAGCTTGAAAAATTTGTCCTGCTTCTTCATGAGCACCCAATAATTTTGGACCTGGGATTCCACTTCTGTTTCAAAATGTGTGAACAACTAAATTGTTATTATTTTCTTAACCCATTCAGCCTCACCAAATACCTCCAGAACAGGCTGGCTCAAAAGTGTAACCACGAGGCTTTCCTGCCTCAGTTGGGACTTAAGAAGGGCTCTGAAAACTTGTAGAACGGGGTTGTGTGTTGGGATGTGCAGACCTTGGGCTGGGAACAGGAGGCTCACGGCTGCAGATCTGTAACCCTGGTATGATACAGTGGTGGTCTCGTATTTAGTGTAGATCAGTTGTGTATGATTTATACCAATGAATAGGTGTTGGATCTGGACTCCTGCTTAGCCCTGGTGTTTACTGGACATATGACTGCGCCTGGTGCTGGCTGATGGTTTTACCTGCACTAGTGATTCACCAGGGCACAGACACTGTTACAAACCTCTCCTGTGTTTTGTTTCATCTCTGCAGCAGATTTGACTGAGATCTCGTGAAGCGTTTCTCTTTGGCAGCGTTGCTTGGTTTGCAGGTGGGCTGGATAGGTGAACCTTAGGCTGAGAATTATGTCTGGTGATTGTGATTTGTTTTAAAAAATATGTAAAACTTAATTTTCTTGCTTGTGTTTTTAGTCACCTGGGAACAGGCGGTTCATCTTACATGAAGTTATGTGCTTCTGCTTGTATCAGCTTGCATGAAAACTTCACCTTTCTTAAAACACAGAAGCACTTTCTTTCCTTTTTGGTAAATGTGCTTTTGTCCATCTGTCAGTCTTTATTGTCTCTGTGTATATTGTTTGATGTATATTCTTTTATACTGAATAGATCTTCTAAGCTTTAAACTTTTCATAGATAAGGAAGAGCCAGACTAGGTGTGAGAGTCTTGGTATGTTTTGAGGTTGGGGGAGTGTTGTTGGGTTTTCTGGAGTTTTTTTCCCCTCTCAATTTTATCAACAGCACAGCTGAGGTAACTACAGCAAGCAGTATGGGGAAGTGTATCAAGCATAATGTTCAGGATTTTGGTGTCTAAATTTACATTTGATGTGCTGTTTTCAATTTGTAGCATGTTTGCATCTGAAAAACTGATTTAAAAATCTACTGGAGGAACTAAGGAAGAATCTGTTGAGATTTGATCTGAGTGGTAGAGGTGGTGGATGGATTTTAATTACACTTCCTGTACTGCCTTTCAGTTCATGGAAGCTTGTTCCCAACAAGTTTATTTGGAATTAAAGCCCTGTGGCTTCTACTGTTGGAGAATTAATCTTTAAGAATGAATGTCTACTTTTGTTCTGATATGAAAAGTCTCCAACTCATGCTCTTGTTTGGGTGTGTCAATCTGAGGCTAATGAAAACAAGGAAAAAGTTGAGCATTTTAGAAATACCTTTTCTGAGGGTGTAGTCTGATAAACTTTTCTCTTGGCAGCAGTATGGGTTTAAACCACCCCTGCTGTTTGTTTCCATTCCCATGCTGTCATCTTTGGTTTGTGTGGGTGAAGTATTTTGCGGGGCTGTGTAATAACTTTCTGGTGTTATGACTTTCTGGATTAAAAATAACTCCCGGAAGAGATTGTATTATTTCTGATGTTGATCAGTGCCCCTGTTGGTTGACTGCCCAGCTTTGAAACCAGTGTGTTACCTCAGCTGGGGAAGAAAGGGGAGGGAGGGTGGGGGAGAGCTTGCACCGCTTAAACAGGCACTGCTGCTGCTGCTGCAAGACACGCTTATTAACCAGTTACTTGTGCGTTTACTTGGCCGTTTAGGTTTCTCGTACTGCAGTACATCACTTGCTTACCAGACCCCTAAAAATCCAGTTCTGCATCTTGTCTTCACTTTCACCAGAATGTCTACAATTTTGTTGCAAAATGTTCTGTTTGATTTTCATGCTTTAATTTGGACCAGACAGGATAATTCTCCAGTAGTTTGAGGGTCCCTGCGTTACTGCTCCTCCAGTAGTTTGAGGGTCCCTACTGCTCTTTTAGACTCCTGGTGTATATACGTTTGTGTTAATACCTAGAAGCCCTGTTCTGAACGAGACACCTTGTTCTAGGCTTTGAAGTAACATAGAACAACAAAAAATTATGCTCAATCTGTAATAAGCAGCAGCTGAATTAGAGATTTGGATGGGCAAGGTGCTGCTTGACATTAAGGGCTCATTATGCTAGCTTCTCATATTCTTTCTATATATAGTAGACATCATGGGAGAAAGAATTGTTGGAGGAGACAAATCAGTGCATTTTTCAGATGTTCCAGGGAACTCCTCAAGCCTAGGGATGGTCTTGGAGAAAGCACTAAGGTGCTTGTTTGAAAATCAAATACAAATGCTTTTCTTTCTTTGTATAAAAACATCTGACCACTTGAAACAACCTTGTGATATCTGAGTGAAAAGAGGTTTTGTTAATGCGGTGAGTTTCGGTTTGAGCTCTTTGTTGCAGCGAGTGCAATTATTTCTGCTTCCTTCTGACAGGCCAAAGAGAACGCTGTACAGTAAGAAGTATGGAGTGGACCTCATCAGGTACACACATGCTGCCAACACTGTGGTCTACAGTTCCAACAAAATAGATGGTAAGTGATTTAATCTCCTTACACTTCAAACTACACGCCTGGATCAAGAGCTCTGAAGAGCTGGGAAGAAATTATAGCAACTTCTTGGTGATAAACGCGCTCTCAGGGACAGAGGAATTAATGTTCGGCTCTAATGCATAACTCAGTGATAGTCCCTTGAGCACACTGATGTGAGTTTTGTTTGCTGCAGTAACTAAGGGATTAAACAGTGTTAGTGTGATAGAAGTTCAGTTCTTGATTCTGCTGTTCTCTTTGCTGTTTGACTCCAGTGCTGTCAGCCTCCCTGCTTTCATTTCTTGTGCATGAAGTGAGGCAGGAGGAGCACGTGGCCAGAAGGTGGGCTGAGTGCTGGAGCTCTGGCTGGTGCACACACCCACACCCACCCACCAACACACACACACACACACACACACACGAGTCATCTGCAAAGGAAGGGAATGTTTTTCCATTCTCTGAACACAGCAGGGAGGGCAGGAAGTTCAGGTAGCTGAGGAGGTCACAGCTCTTCTGAGAGGAGCTTTGCTTCTGTTAATCTGTTTTTTCTATGTAATACACAAAACACCCATTTTCATGCCATTTCTCCACAGTCGGTGTCTGTGATAGCTACATTCTGTCAATCGGTGACATCAAAGGGCTTCCTGGAGCTTCATGACAGGGTCTCTATTGATATGTTTGAGTTTAATTTAAAATTCAAATTTCAGAACTGGCACAGATAGGTACATTAATTCTTCTATCTTGCAACACTTCCCAAGGTTGAAAACAGCTAGTGTTAATTTCAAATTTTGTCTCCATTTTGTTTGTTGTATTCAGTGTCTGAGAGTTATTCAGTGAACAAGTCTCTTAGCACAGCACTTTATAAATGAGTTTTAACATTCTATTTGTGAACTCATATGCATTTCAGGAAACTTTCTGGAGTTAGGAAGTCAGGTTGAACTAGAACAAGCTGGGCCTTAAACTAGAGGAACAAGGAAGTTTCCAGTGGAATTTGATTTAATGGTGTAAAAGGATTAAAAGTGTGATGGGAAGCACTTGCCTTTTTAGCTTGTTTCACAACCTACTTTCTTTTTTATTATTAAGTTATTACTTTGTTATGTCACATTTCTGACTTGGCTGTTATTTAATTTACAGTTAATTAACAATTTAGTGACCCATTTTTAATGCCATTTTGGGTTATGAGTTTTTGTTTGTAAGCTCTGGTAAGTCTTTGAGGAACCAAAGTGTAAGAATCTTTATCCTGCCGGGCAGCATGATGATAGATGCTTAATTAGAAGAGAAGAAGAAGATGGACTGTGAAAGTATCTGTTGCTGTTACGAACCATAAGCCTAATAAAACCAGGAGTGTGTTGGGTAGGGGCCCAGGTGCTCTGCAGTCCCTGATGCATCCAGGTTTGGGCAAGGTGCATTGTATTTAACCTCTTAACACAGCTATTGGGAGGGAAGATTAACCCACAAACGTGTTGTTGGAGGGCTGGCACTTGTTCCCTCAAGCATTTTGTGTGTTGGAGTTGCTACTAATCCACTTCTTTCTGAAGATTCCCTCAAGACCTGTGAACCTAGTTTCTCTTGCCTGATTCCAGGCTGAGGTAGTAGTTTGTACAGTTTGAGGGTCTATGATACCACCCGGTACAGGAGATAACTGTACAGGCCACTGCCTTGCCTGGGACAGAGCACTGCCAGCAGGAATGTTCACAAAGGATCACCACCACTCCCCTGTGCTTCCTCTGTAGCAAAGAAAGATGAAATTCTGCATGGATGCTTCAGGAATCAGGTAACAACACTTCTTGCAGAAGAAACTAGGAAAAAACCTAAAAACCTTCACAGCATGCTTGATGCATATTGGTTCCAGCTGTGATGGGATGTGACACTGGTGTCGGGGATTTATGTTTTGGATAGTCACCTCAGGTCACTCAGAGCCTTTCAGGAATGGTGTGTCATCAGCATCATGTTTCCAGCTTGATCAGTCAGACTTAATTTTCTTGTGAAATGCTGGAGGATGGTCCAGAACTGATCTCAGCGTGATGTGAAATTGCAGGCAAAACCGGTAACTTGATCAGTTTTTCACAGAAACCAAATTTTAGTGAATGAGCCTTTAAAAAAAAACTCTGACCACAGTAGCACTCATGAGTGTTATAATGATCTGTCCTTATTGCATCCTGTTGGCTCTGGTTATTCCAGGTCAAAAGTAACAATGCCCCTTTTCCCTCAGTTTATCTTTGGAGCCTCAGCAGGACCTGTCCCGGCAGCACGGCGTCTCTCGGCGCTGTGTGGTGCAGGTGCAGTGCCAACCTCTCCCATCCAGCAATCGCTTAAACTAGTGTCCCCTAACTAGTGAGAAGGGATTTTGCTGCTGCTGCTTTCTGATACCAGAGGTTTAACTTGTGCTCTTCACATTTTCTTGCTCAGATGGATCTGCACATAAAGATCAAAAAGTGTCTTCTGTGCTTCAATAACTGTTTCCTCTTACAAGGATTTCTTTTAATCAGGGGAGAAAGTCTTGACAGACAGCATCTTCCCAGATTCTGGGCTACTCTTGCTGTGTTCATCTGTACTCAGAATAAAACTACCACTTGGGAAATGTTGTGGTGCTGCTCTGATATAGTCAGTGTATTTTTAAGATTGCTTTAAGTGGACTAAGCTTTAGATTACTACTGTTGTCTGCTCAAAGTGCAGAGAATGTGTGAAGCTGTTGATTGTGAGATTGAAAAAAAAAAAAAATGAAGAGAGATTTGCTACTTTTTAGTGGTCTTGTCCTGGCTTTGAAGTTCTTATTTTTTTCTCCTCTGTGACTAAATGCTAGAATTCCCACATTTCCTGTGCTTACTGCTTGGTTTGAGACTTACTCACTGGATGTGTACATAGGTAAGACAGCAAGATTCATGCTGTATAGGGGAAAAAAATATGGTAGTATCAACTTTATAAATTTGATGATATTTTTGGAGTAAAACCTACTGGTACTTAAATTTTAGCAGCTTTGAAATGAACTTGTGTAAATCACATGACAGTTTGCCTTAAAAATGTAATACAGCTTCAGACTGTGGGAAGTATCTTTTCCTGATGCCTGATTTCGAGTTCTGCCTTGGAAACCAAGTTGCTTTTTGTCTGTTTCTAACTTGATTCTGTTCCAAAGTCTTGACCTGAAATCAAATAACCAGACTTACTCACTGTGGCAGGATTGCTGTTGCTGTGGGGAGCGAGTTAATTGTGTGACCACCTTTAGACACCATTGGGTTCGTGGTGTAATAAAGCTTGTGGTTTGTTTCTGTTTTCAGATACAATCCGGTACCTCTCCCTGCACGACAACAAATACATTCGCTATTTCCCAGGACATACAAAAAGGTGAGCTGTGGCTTGGGGACAGTACAGGAGAAATTGAAATAATTATTGTCATGAGCTTGAGTTGTGTTACCCTTGATTCACTCTCGTTTTTAATTTGTAGAACTGTTCATGGCAATTACAAGCTTGTCCACAACTGTTGGTGTAGTTGCTGCTCCACTCACTTCTTTTGTGTGTGTCTCTAATGCACGTGGTCTTCTGTGTTGCAGAGTGGTCGCTCTTTCAATGTCTCCAGTGGATGATACTTTTATTTCTGGATCCCTTGATAAAACTATTCGACTTTGGGATCTCCGCTCTCCAAATTGCCAGGTAGGATATCAAATTCATGTGCATAGTGTGTTGTATTTTCAGTTAGAAGGATGAAAATGGATGTGTGCTTCTTCTAGAACAAAAATACTGCCAGAAATGTACGCTGCTAACTTAGTGTTGACACCTTCCTGGAATGCTGAAGGAGCCTCAATCACAAATCTCTGTGAAATATGCATGTTGCAGTGTGTAACACCACTCGTTTTCACCTCTGTCTCTGCTGGAGAGGTGCTGGGAAGAGCAAGAAATAACACCCACAGCTGATGAAACAAGAGAAGAGCTGCATGTCATCAACTTGTTCATCAGGCTGCTACCCCATGCAGAGGGTGTTCTCTCTCAGCAAGCATCTCTCCTGGGTTGGGAAAGACAGCAGAAGGGGCACAGAGAGATGTATTTTGTCTGAGTGTTTATAGTGTCTTTGTATTCGAAATGGATGCCTGTATGCAATTAAATTTGACAAAGAAACTGATCTAAAGTAACACAGCAGCAATATGATCTACCCCCTCCTTGCATCACCTTTGTTCATCAGACCTGTTGGTGAGCAGATTTAACTTTCTAGCCTTATTTATTTTACTGGAATAGCTTACTGTGCTTTTTTTAGTGGAAGCAGACTTGTGTGGGCTGAGGAAAGTACCAGAGCTGAGAGCAGGGGCAGGAATTAACAACTAGGAGTAGAATCTCCACCTTTTATGGGTGATGAGCTGCCTTTTTCCTCTATCTGGATACACACAGTGGTGTGCTTTCATATTTTCCCATCTCATTGGGACCATTTTGCTTATGAGAGAGGGCTGTTTGCTTATTCCAAATGATGTAACTGTAAATGCAAAAGGATGAAAAGGTTATATTTCTTACAAAATTATTTTATCTGCCTTAAAGCCAAGCTTTTTGTGACAAGAGATCTTAATTTTGCCTTTCTCTGGGAGCGTGCCTTTAATGCTGTTTCCCTTGGGATGAATCTCAGTCTCAAATTTGCTACTGAGATGAGATAGAGTTGTAAAATCAGCAGGAGTTCAGTGATTTATGCTAATGCCTGAAGTTGTAAGAATGGTAAAACTAGGACTTGTAACTGGAAGGTGCATCCTGCAGTTTGGGAAGCAGGTTAAGTGTTCCTTGTAGTTTTCGATTTGCCCGTGAGATGGCAGCTGTAGTGCCTACAAATATTCCCAGGAAATCAGAGATGTCCCGCTGGCGAGGGCCCTGAGTGTTGGCTTGCTCACTGCCCAGCCTTCCGAGGCCACAGGGGAAACCAACCTAAACTGGGGAGAGGGGAGAAGCAGTAGAGTCTCTGGAGTTCTCTAGAGAAGAATGATTATTTCAGAAATGCAGAAACTTCTTAAATGTATTGTTGGTGTAATCAGAGATGTGTTCTCATTTATGTGCATGCACTTACATAAAGGCTTTTGGCTAATGTGCACAGACCTGCCAGTCAGGATACAGGAAAATTATACATCTTGTTGGCTTTTACCAGATTTTCTCAAGTCTTTTCTACTATGTGACTTAAGGAAAAGTTAACATTAAAAATAAGCACTGGTAGTAATCTCTCAATTTTAATATGTAAGGCCTGTTTGCTTCCAGAAGGTGTGAGTTTTCACTAAACAGACATGGAAAGTTCAGCAGAGGTGTTCACTGGAGCTTGCTTTCAAAATACTTTTTGTTTTTTCCCCCTCCTTTGCAGCCATAACTGGTAGAGTGTTGCTGTCAGTCCTAGCAGCAGTGTTTTGTGGCACTGTCTAGCACGGTTATTAATACAGCCTCATCATCCTCCCTTCTCTGAGTACTTTTTGAGTGGATAACAACTCGAATGAGATCTTGCTTTGTTCTAACACAAACTTTGCCAGTGCAACTGGAAGCTCTGTATGATGACCTGAAGTAGTCAGAGCTGCTTTTGAGAGGCTGAGTTCTGAATCTTTGTAAAACTTCAATATTTACAACTGAAATTCAGTTGTTTGGCCTGTAAGCAGCTGTCCTGCTCACAGTGGGCTCAAAGGGCAGTAGTGGAAATGCGAGCATCAGTTTCACAAAATAGTTTGGACTTCTTCTCTTTTCCAGGGTTTAATGCATCTCCAGGGGAAGCCTGTGTGCTCTTTTGACCCAGAAGGGTTGATTTTTGCTGCTGGAGTAAATTCTGAAATGGTGAAGCTTTATGATCTCCGTTCTTTTGACAAGGTGAGCCACCCTAACTTCAGTTCTTACAGTTCTTAGCTTGCAAGAAGTAGTCTGAACTCAGTGCTCAGAAGGTGGATTTGTTTACTCCAGCTTACTATCTGGACTGCCTTGCTTGGCACCTAGAGAGTTTTTGGTGAGTGCACATCTCATAGACAGAACTGGATATGTGCTGTCACCAAATCCTGAAAGTCACTCTCGAAGCAAAGTTTATTTCTGCTGACTTTTTAAGCTGTTCCACACTCCTGTTAAGGCTTTTTGTTGTTGCTGGGTTTATGTGTTTTGGGTTGGTTTTTTTTTCCTTGCTGCTTATTCTAGAAGACGACTGGTAAAGGTGGAGCCAGGGTTGTCAGCAAGGATGGAGATTTCAAAGGGAACTGTAATTGGGTGAGCAGCTGAACTGGCTAAGCACTGAGCAAAGTTAGTTCCATGTTTTTCAAAAAGTCAGCTGACAATAACACTGGCTCAAGTTCTTCCACTTCAATCAGCAGCCTTGTTTGAAAACTTCATCCTACCTTAAATGAATTTCTGCTGTTGAATGTGGTGGATTATGGGACTACTGGGTAAGGAAACACCCTCCTGTGGCCATTTTTCGCTATGGAAACTGTGGATTCATACTTCTTTGAAACTTACACATGCACTGGCATGTTTTTGCCATGACACTTTCCTTTGGTATTTTGAAATTTCTTTTGAAAATTTTGTAATTTTTGAATTTCTTTTGAAAAATTTTAAACTTTTTCCTGAGCTAAGGTTAAAAGCAGTCTCATGTGAGCAGCAATGCATACAGAGTCTACATGATATTTCCCCTTTTCTCTTTGAAGGGGCCGTTTGCTACGTTTAAGATGCAGTATGATCGAACGTGTGAGTGGACAGGCCTGAAGTTCAGTAACGACGGCAAACTCATCCTCATATCAACTAATGGAGGCTTCATTCAACTGATTGATGCCTTTAAAGGAGCTGTCCTGCATACTTTTGGGGTGAGCACGTTGCCTGGGTTACCTGCTTGATACTTGGTGTTAATTTTGGGAGCAGATGCCTTTTGTTTGCCAGGTGACTGTGGACACCCTCTCTACCACCCACTCTCCTGTTCTGTACCGTAGGGTTATAACAATAGTAAGGCTGTCACGCTGGAGGCGTCGTTCACACCAGACTCTCAGTTCATCATGATAGGTAAGACAATTCTTGAAATAATTTCATTGCTCTGAAATTAGGTGTGTTATGTAGGACTAAATTTGTGTGTGTGTTTGGAAGCAGAATGTATGTAAATAATGCAATGCAGCTGTAAGCTTTCTGTATATTGACAGTTTTCTGGTTTGTTAGTTTACTCAGCATTTTCTAGACTGAAATGTAAATGAAACTGCAAGAAGACTTTTGGTTTTTTTTCCTTTATATATGAACAATATTCCAAAAAAGATGAGAAACCAGCAAACAATTGTATTGCCTGGAGATCTGTCACATAATTGTTGTGAATGATCCTCACCCTGTGGCTATGATGGGCTCATGTGCTGCCTCTGAAAGCATTTGGGGGCTGTATGTTGTGGCCTGCCCTCTATTGTTCTGGAACCCCCATCAGTTCTGGAGCCCCCATCACAAGAGAGACCTGGAGCAGCTAGAGCAAGTCCAGGGGAGGCCACCAGGATGATCCGAGGGCTGGAGCAGCTCTGCTGTGAGGACAGGCTGAGAGAGTTGGGGCTGTTCAGCCTGGAGAAGAGAAGGCTCCGGGGAGATCTTATAGCGGCCTCCCAGTACCTGAAGGGGCTCCAGGAAGGCTGGGGAGGGACTTTGGCCAAGGGCAGGGAGTGACAGAACAAGGGGTGATGGCTTGAAACTGGAAGAGGGGAAGATGGAGATAACATCTGAGGAAGAAATTATTCACTGTGAGGGTGGTGAGACAGTGTCCCAGGTTGCCCAGAGAAGCTGTGGCTGCTCCTCCCTGGAAGTGTTCAAGGCCAGGCTGGATGAGGCTTTGAGCAACCTGGTCTAGTGGAAGGTGTCCCTGCTGATGGCAGCGGGGTTGGAACTTTGTTGTAAACGCTTCAGTCACTGTTACTGTCCCAGCAGGACCCATGAACACAAGGCAGGCACCTTTGTGTGGTGCTGCCCTCTTCTAGCACTTTCTTTTTGTTCTTATTTATACGGCTGGTATGTCAAATGTGTTTAACTTTGTGGTAATTGGTATCTTGATCCTCATTTTTCCTGGATGAGTGATGGCACTGGCAAAACTTTTTGTTCTGTCTGAGAACTTCCTGATTGCAGAAGGTGGGGAGGGGGGGGAGTGATGTGTGTGTTCTTTGTTTAGCCTGTCTCTGGAGAGCACTTCAATGCACATATTTACCTTCCTGTTGGGTCCTTCCAAATGAAAACTATAGTGGAAGAAGTTCCAAACCACATATTTCTGTTCAGTGTTTACATGTGGTTAAGGTGTAACTTGTGCTTCTTAATTTTTCCTCCCTGTACATTTAGATACAGAAGCAGAAGAAGATTCCATGCATTTTTATTAGGAATTCTATTTAAAATGAGACTAAAGCAGAACTGAATTACAAAAATGTTAAATGCCCAGCCTCAGAGTTTTCAAAATGCCATTTTAAAGTAAAAAACCTGTCCTGTTGTAGCAATGTGGAGAGCTGACACCTCCAGTGAAGCTTGTAGGATTTGTCATAGTGCCCTGAAATCTGGTGACCTTCAGTGGTAAAGCCTTCGATTTGATTCTGCGCCTACCAAGTGAAATATTTATCTCCTTCTGTGTCTGAACTGAGAACTTGTGTGAACAGTGACTCTTGCCCCCAGCTTTTGGCCTCTCGCACATCAGTCAAGAGTCTTTCCTCCTTAGTTGGATGGGGTCAGCTCCCCTTTCCTACTGGGTGGCCGTAGCTGTTGACCTCTTTGCCAGAGCAGCGTTGGGCTCTGTTGTGGAGTTGAGTCTCTGCAGTGCAAAGATACAAACCTGGTGTTTGGAGACAGGTGTGTAAACTCCAGTGACGTTTTGTAAATGTCCTGGTGATACTTGGAGAATTTTAAAGGTTAAGCTATGAAGATGAGGCATGCTTGTTCCTCCAGCTCTCTGACAGGAAAGGTTATGTACTTCATTTTCTCTGCTGGCCTCTCCAGTGTATCTTGCATACCTTGTTTTCCATTCCTGCCTGCAGGTTCGGAGGATGGGAAGATTCATGTTTGGAATGGGGAAAGTGGGATGAAGGTGGCTGTGCTGGATGGGAAACACACTGGTCCTATAACCTGTCTGCAGTTCAATCCAAAATTCATGACTTTTGCTAGTGCATGTTCCAATATGGTAAGAAGAGTGTTTTAAGTTCCTCCTCACTCAATGAGGTGCTAACCCTGTTAGAAATGAATCTGAGAAGGCTCAGTGCCACTGATGGGTATTTCCTTGGGCTTTGCTGAGAGCCAGGTCCCTGCTTGTCCCACCTTGATTGTGCTTTACCTGGATATATGGGGCAGTACACCTGGCAAGCCAGCATTTGAACACACATGAAAACAGAGCAGTGAGTGAATGCACAGGCAGGAGTTTGAGTTCTGTAGGTCACTGATCGTGGCTGGTGTTTTCAGTTTGTGCAAGACTGGCTTGCTCTGGAGAACATGCAATGCAAACCAAACCAGCATAAGCAAAGATTGTCACCTTAAACTGCTGGGAGGGTGTTGCTGCCTCCTTGGTAGTCTGCCTGCATGCTTCTAGAAGGTAGCAGAGATCAGCCCCTACATTGTGCTGTAGGAGAGATTTGTGTTCTGCTCTGTAAAAGATGTTCTTTCCTCTTTTGTAGGCCTTCTGGTTGCCAACTATCGACGACTAGTTCCTACGCTGCAGCTGCTGTCAGATGAATTCCATACTGCTGACAGCAGCACATCGTTGCAAGCATAGTATTGGAATTGCCTAGATCTCCCAGAATGTGTTCCTGCATATGTTTCCATATGTCTTACCTTTATTTGCTGCATTCCTTTGTGAGGACTCTTCCACTTGGCCTCCCAGCATGCTCAGAAGCAGCATGCTGCACACTCTTCCCTTTCAGCAGGCTTCAGCCGAAGTTGGAACTGGCACAGTGTTATTTCTAAGAGCAATGAAGTCTGTTTTATTTACAAAGTGTTTGTGGCATTTTTTAAGCTGTAATTGTGTGTTTTCCTCCTGTAAGTGCACAAGGCTATTGATGTTCCAAGCTGGAACGTGCAGTTCCTTCCCGTAAGTGCATGTTTTTCACATCTGGGATCTCCGGTTTCACTGCAGTCCACAGATGCAAAGTTACTTCTGTGCCAAATGTGAACACTGACAGCTTTCAACTTGAACAGCAGATGCTGGATTCTCTTGCAGTGGAACGTGTGCAAGAGTGGGTGACTGTAAATGCACATTATACATCCTGTCATCCTTTTTTTTTTGGTGATTTAGTGTGCAACACACCGTACAGATTTTGTCCACTGCCAGAGCTTGCTGAAGCCTCCCTGCTGTTTGCTGTGCCAGCTTCCTGCACAGCACAGACAGTACTGATAAGGTC